GATGGATCAGATCTTTAATGGGTTAAGGAGCTAGACTGATCAGAGGTCTCTGAACAAACAGTGTTTAAGGTCTGTTCTCTAAGCTGAGATAGCCGATGAGAAATCTTTGGAACTGGAGTGATTAGCTGCATCTCCCAGGATTTAATTAAGACGCTGCTGCAGTTATCGATACGGTTGGAGATAAATGCATGGATAAGTTTCTATAGATCCCAAGGTGTTTTTATTGTGATAAGGGTGATGAGACGTGCGGCACAAATGGATGGCTGCAAAAGTCAAAGTAGCTATGGTTACCAATACGTTGATATTTAATCTGCCACCTGGCGGAGTGGGTAGATCATCATAAGCCTTATAAGGGAGCAGGAGGCTTGTTTCAAGCGTGTGTGCTTCAGTAATGTGCTAACAAGGTTTATAGCTGGAGAGGCATTCGTAATCGGATTTACAAATATATACCCCTGCAAGTTATTGTTTACACCGGAAAATTTGCACATGCGGACAATGCTGGGGGCAGAAAAACTATTCTTTTACATACATGTCAGGGCTGCCACCATAGAATACTTCCGTTAACTCAAACTGACATGTAAATATTAATTTTGTGCTGTGTTCGTAGCAAAGGGGGAAAACTGTTAATGTATGACTCAAAACCACTTTCTCGCTCTCTGCATCACAGCTACGAACAGGCTCGTTGCCATAGCAACTGAAAACAACGCTACAAAAATATATATATATATAAAAAAGAACAGTCAAATATTTCTCACACAAAAGAAATATAGTTTTAGGCTTAATGGTTTGTGATTAAAAGGTGATTGGGTGGTAAGAGAAAAAAAAAAACTAAAGATGTATCGCTGAACTGACTTTAATGTGAGGCTAGCTCTAGCTAGCTCGTTGTTACTGTCTCTTACTCTGCATTTGTGGAATCGCAATGTCTGGGATCATGAGCGCCCCCTGCCACACAGGAGAACTGGCTGCCTCGCGTAGGAACTGTACTCTGCCGTTTATGATCACTCTAAGCACACAAATCATGTTACACACACGGGTGGTGACAAAACAGTCTACGCCGTACGCTACATTTATGGAAATCAGTTAATGCATTATTATCTATCCATCTATCTCCCAATTGACACCGCACAATACTGGTGTGCTTAAAATGATTGCAACCAACTCCAACAGCAATTGCGTGTAGAACCACAATGCTTAGGCAGCCATCCAGTTATGGAAGAAAGCTGACTCATTTTATGACCCTCATGTCGTGTGTGCTGGACTGACGGATCCTATAAATGTGGTATTTCTACTTAATGCCCATGCCTCCTCGATACGAGTTCGAGCTGACAGAAAATGAGGGAAAGAGGAACAGAAGTTATCAGGACGTGCGACGCAGCGAACTGAACGGCCTGAGAAGCGGAACACTCGCAAAGTTAAGATCACTGTGCAAGTGCCATTAGAAAGCGAAGCCGATGAGATTTAGAACAGCTTAAAGCCCAGCTCTGCAAACCACAAGTTGAGCTAATCATGACTCTAAAGATGCTGAGACTGACCGGCAATGGGAGGCCAGATAAACAGGAGCTGGAAGCATTGGTGCCCTAACTGATGTCATGAAAACAAAATATGAACGAGAGTGGAGAAGGTATATCATTACCTGGACACCGCCCTCACGGGCGCAGCGAAGTTGCTGGTTGATGAAGCTGGAGAGCCAGCTGTGAGCAGTCACTCGGAAGTGAGCGTGGCGGTCTGATGGTGGCGTTCTCCGGGAGGTGAGCTGGGAAAGACAATCCAGGCATAGGAGCGAGTCCACGACGAGACGAGCTGAGGAGGGCTGACGAGCGTCAGTGGCGGGGAGGAGAATGGCGGATCGAGGAGGGGCCGGAGTGTCACTGATGAAGGCCGAAGGGAGTCATCATGGGGCGGATAGATCAGTGAGCTGACTGACAGCCCTTGCTCAAGATAAGTTTAACGGAGGGGTAGAGGAGGGAGGCGAAGAATCCATGAAGCTAGACAACACCCCCATGGGCGCAACAAGGTTGCTGGATGATGAGGCTGGAGAGCCAGCTGCGAGCTGAGACACAGAAGTGAGCGACCCTGGCGGACTGGTGGCAGCGTTCTCCTGGAGGTGAGCTTAAAAAGACGATCAGGGCGGAGGAGTCCGTGACGAGATCAGCAGGGGAGGGCTGACGAGGGTCAGTGGTGGGAAGAAAGGGACGGCGGATCGAAGAGAGGCCGGAGCGTTGCTGATGAAGGCCAAAGGGAGCTAGGATGGGGCAGCTGAAAGTCCATGGGAGCACAGCAAGCGAGAGACATCTGAACAAAGAAAAAGAAAAAGGACGATCAGAGGGAGCTTTGCGAGCCGAACCAGGCCAAAAGGAGCAGAACCGTTGATGGAGAGGAGGCAGCTGGATGTTACAGAGGTAGAGGAAAAGCACCCATAACGTTGAACCACAACTGAAGCAGGTGGATCTGTGGTTGCTTCGTCTTTTGAAGGAGCTCTTGCCAGGTGATTGGATCAAGGTAGAGAGGTGGTGCGTCCTGATTGGCTGAGATGAAGGCGTGATGATAGGTGATGCCGGAAGAGTCTTCCAGGTTGAATTTCTGCCTAGCGCTTCATTACAGTAACATAGACATAATGTTTTGTTATGTCTTTCTAATAATGTCTAATGGAGCACTATGTAACTTATACTTTTTTTTTTAGATATTTGTTGAAGTTGTCACTGTGTCGTGTCGTGATATTGCATAAGAGATAATCTGTGAAAAAAATTTAGGTCTTGTTAGCCAGTGCTAACTGGATTCAAACAGTCAGAGCCAGGAGGCAGGTCTTAGCGTGTCAATCACAAACTCTTGTGGTGCTGCTCATCTCACTTCTCTCCGATCTCTTGCTTTTGGCTACGCTGCAGCTAACAGAATCTGTCATGAATGTTAAGGATGAATGTTAAGGCTAGTTTGCATGGACACCGATGACAGTGGATAAACGGTTTTCCTGTAATGGTAAGTTTATTGACAGCATGAGGAGGTTGATTGATAGCGCTAAGACTCTCTTCCTGTCTGATTGGTTGGTCAGGCCAGAAGCCCCAGCCACCTCAACTGGCTCCTCTCAACATGGAGGAGCAGCGGCTCTACTCCGAGTCCCTCCTGGATGACCGAGCTTCTCACCTTATCTCTAAGGGAGGCACCCTGCGGAGGAAACCCATGTCAGAATTCATCAAAATTACTCAATGTTGTTGTTTGTGAAAGAGCTATTAGCAATTGGTGAGACGCTGATGAGCAAGGTGATGTGCTGCTGTAATGTAATTTAGAAGTGCTTTGTAAAAAGTAAGTTTATAACATGAAGTGTTTCTGTGTTAAACTTGAGTATCCATTCTCTTTTTTTAGAGTTTTTCTGGGCTCAAACCCTGAACAAGGTCGACTGACATGATGCAGATGAAGGTGAAGAAGCAGCTTTGCATTCCAACCAGATGGCTCAAGTCCCTTAATGAACTCAATGACTGGGAATCCATGGAAAATTTGAGCCTTCTGAAGTTTAAATGTGATTGATCATCTCATCAAACCTGGTGCACCAGGAACCTTTGTGAAGCACAAGAACTGGTCACAGAACATTTCAAGCTCTTGGTAACTATACCTAAGAATTGGATTAACCTTTTTTTGCAGAACATCAACATAAAATGGACTGTTTTGTTTTATGTTCACAGCGACGAGAGGTAATGAGAGCACACACTCATGAATCCAGTGTCTTCCACTGTTGTTGGCATTAGGCTGTGTTTATGTAGTGTTTGATTTTTAACTGGATATTTATACCTGTATTTCATAAAAACAAACAAAATTGTTTATTTGACTTCAAAGACTAGAGGAATGAGTAGGTGTGTCCAAACTTTCGGTCTGTACTGTATGTTGAAAATTTGTACAGTAAAATGCAATGAATTAGTTGTGATGTACAGAAGATAAACATTAGCAAGCTCAAGAATATGGTTAGCTCTTAATATATAATAGTGACGGTCAGTTATATAGACTACATGACATGTCAATTTATGGTCTTAAATTGCAAAATAGTCTGCAAATTGTTTGTAGAATGGTTTCATTTTTATATCACTTTGCATGAGCTACTTTCAAACTAAGTGTTTTGTGTTCTACAACTACATTTCCTGTGGACTTAAGAATTTAGTTTTGTTTCAAAATTCAATGGTTTGGAAGACAAAAGTATTTGGAAATGTCCAAGGCTTTTAAAAAAAGTTTGTGAATATGTCACAAAAGACAGTAAAAAGAGAGAATTTCAGTTTTAGGTTAACAAAATATTGGTAAATTTGACATAAACTGTTAAATTATGGAAAATATTTTGATGGAAATTCTGAAAAAAAAAAAAATACAGAAAATGTCCTGGTAACTTTCTGCCAGAATATTTTCTGTTTTTTACAGAATTTCCATGAGAAGTTTCCCGTAATTTAACAATATTTCATTTCAAAATTTTCCGTAAAAAAACAGGAAAATGCCGTATTAATTTTCTGCCAGTACATTTTCTGTATTTTCACGGAATTTCCGGCAGAATTTTTCCGTAATTTAATGTTTTTTTCCCCCCATAATTTAAGTTTTCTGTGTTTAAAATTTAACATATAAGAACTGTTAAATTACGGGGGAAAAAAATGTTAAATTCCGTAAAAAAAAACCAGGGCATTTTCCTGTTTTTTATGGAATATTTTCTAATGTGTATATTTATTTATGTATATTCCAACATGTATTTTGTAAAGTAAATGTTTTAGCAAGTTCAGAGCTAAATATATTTTATTTGAAATTATTTAGTTTCTACATATTTACTCCACAACTAACTAAATATGTCATTTATAAACTACTTAGCTTGCTAATTAAATATTTGGAAACCGTGATATTTACTAATGAATGAATAACATGACAGGAAAATGAATCCTCATTTTTTCGTCCTGACAGGTTAAATTACCCACATTATTGAATCAAGTTTTTTACCATGTAACTTTCAAAATGCCACCCCATAGTATCTCTTTGCATTTAATTTCATTGAAGTTTCACCACCCAGACCCAGTTCCTACCTCGCCGGTCTTCTCAGTGATGTCATCCAAACTGAGCGTGATGACCTTTCCTCTGGCTCCGATGAAGAGCAGACCGATGTCTTCTCTCACCAGCATGGAGCTCAAACCGTCAAAGTCAGGCTCCTTAAACAGCTTCAGGTTAACATCTGAGGGAAAGAATCCAACCGGCATCCTCAGATTACTTTTGAAATCAGAGCATTTTCATAAACCTCTGAATTTAGTTTAGTTCTCTGCATTTTATTTAGAGATATCAGAGTAAGAGGGGGTAGACAGCATCTTCATGCTACACTCGTATTACTTCCATCTTTTTAATGCACTTCTTTGTGCTAGTTTGTCACTCAGAGTCACAATCAAACACTAGAGTTTGTGTTTGCAACATGACAAAATGTGGAAAAGTCGACAGACTGAATACTTCTGCACTGGTCTGGGCATTTCAGTGCTGCTGCAGAGATGCTCACCTGAGAAGGAAACGCTCCGACGGGGTTTCAGGCTTTGGGCTGATCCTTCACTCATAATGATCAGGACATAAAGGAGCGCTACCTGGCTCTTCATCATAACCTCAGACAGGAAGGAAAGAAAAAACACATTTCTATAGCAGTTGTTATGGAAACAGCAGTTTATTTCCTGGTTATTAATTACATGTCACAACTTCAGATAGTTATAGCTTCACAGAAACATTATGGGTTCATAAATTATGAAATATGAATCCTTAGCACAGGGGTGACCAAACTTTTTGCAAAGGGGGCCAGATTTGGTGTACTAGAAATGTAGGGGGGCCGACCTTGGCGGACGTCCTTTACATAGAACAGCAATATATTTAAACAAATTTCAGCAAGCCATTCTGTGTTTCACATTTGCTTTTTTATTTTCAGCGATCTTAAGCATGTCTTTTGGTTCATTTGAAACATGCATATCATATGCAATTGAATATTCACTTAACCTCAATTTTTCAACACTAACTTTTCTAACGGTTAAACAGAAGTAATTGTACTCTTGAGTGCAAATTACATTTGAAACATAAAAAAATATCTCACCACGGCAGTTCAATATTTACAGAATTTTTAAATAAAATAACAGAAAAATGAGCAAGTAATAGTCATATCAACAAGTCCAGGGCTCATTTGAAATATGACATGTTAGTAACTATAAATGTTTTTAAATGTTTTTAAAAGTTTATTATTCTGGAGTGAAAACTGAAAACTTGTCTGAATTTTTGACTGATTTTGATCTAAAAACAAAATTTATTCTGAGACTTACTGTAAATGACAAATGACTTGTCTGCATAAAAGTGATGGGAGATACTAAGATCTGGACTGCAGCACATAGGCCAGGTCTGGTTCAAAGGCAGTGGTACTGACAGGCCTGGTGGCATGGGCGGGCATGGGCGCCCAGAGTCAGCCGTGCCCCCCTGCACTGGTGGAAGCTGTTTATTGTTTTTACCTTAGAATGGCCAACAGTCTGTTATTCCTATATCAATTTGATACAATAGGAGCTTCCGCACTTCCCATATCTGTGTCCTGTCACCTTTTTC